CTGGGATTTTTTGTTCCCAGTGCCGCCTCTTAGTAAAAGCTTTAGCTCCTTGGTTAGACGTGTCTGCTGGGAGAACTAGCCAATATTGCTCAAGCAACTTCATTTTGGAGGACATCATCGCAGACGGGATTCAGGTTGAAATTTTAAGGCTGAGGAAAATTTTAAGGTTGGTGGAAGAGGGAAAGGATATTCCCAAATAGCCATAATCAGACCTGAAAGGTGTGGAGGAGGGGACAGTGCGACAAGGAAATCCGAGAAAGAGCGCACCTCACCCCCAAGCACGCATTGCTGCCTTTCCACCCCCAAGGCAGCAGCCTACACCGGCCTCTGTGTAACTGGTACGCGTGAATTATTTGCCAGAGACACAGCTGGATCGTGGCAGGCGAGTGCTGTATCTTGGGAACAAGTACGCGAGAGGTTAGATAGCAGATTAGCCAAAGTGATTATCGGAGATTGTGCCTCAAGTACCTGCTGAAGGCTGGAAAGTGTGTAATGCAAGTGTTTGCTCGGCGTGTAGACGCTGTTCACAAGTTGTTGCTGCTGCTCACTTGTAGCGAGCCCTGGCACCGCACATTTAGGGAGCCTGCCCGCTCTGGAGATAGTATATAACCTTTCACATCCAGACTATTTATTTGGTGTAAGAGCGAAGCCTGATAACAAGCTAAAAACCGTAGCCAAATATCTATTTTGTTAGAGAATAGCAGGCGGATTGTTTCCAAGAATAACAATGCGTCTTTGATATACCCAGAATGAAAGCTGTTACTATAACCGGCTTACTCAAGAGTAGGTGACAGAAATCCATTTACTTCCTCACTAAAACAATTAGTAGTCCGGATTCCATATTTTAGATCTGGTTTAGAATAAAAATATAAATGAAAATAAATTCAAAGAAGTTGAAACCGCGTCTTACATAAATATTGACTCATTATAATTATTGTTTAAGTTGTGTCCCCCCTCAGAAAAAAAAAAAAAAAAAGAAAAAAGAAAAAAGAAAAATAAAACAAAAAGAAAAGAAAAGAAAAAAAGACAACAGGCTAGAACAGAACAGTTAATAATTTCAGACGAACTCTTTCTGTCTTTTCACCCTCTACATTCAGCACGCTGCTCTCTGGCGTGGAAGGTCTTCTCAAAAGACCATTCATTTAAAATCCGGGCACAAATCACATTTTACGTGTGTTTATTTAAGCGCACCAGGACAGAGTGAGCAAACCCCTTCAACTATCCTGCTGTTAAGAGGAGCTCAGTGCCAGGGAGACCAACGCTTTTACCAAATGCTGAACTTGGGGCAAAAATGCCAACATTGCCCCGGCAGCGCCCATCGGGAAGGACGCTCTCATCCGCGGAGGCAAGAGCAGCCTCGGGGCTGTATCATTCCCAGGAACAAAGAAAGGAATACAGTCGATACATTCCATAACGTTTACATTTTCTCTCGATTTTTTTCTTATTTTTCCCTTAGAAGTAGTGACCTGGGCAAAGCACCCTGCTATCTAAAAGACACTGTTATAGACCTTTTATAAAAACTAAGTCCAAGGCCGAGGTGAACTTCAGGTCACCGCGTCTAACAAATATGAAAATGTCGCCTGGTGAAGGGCACGCCTTGTTATTTAACAAAGACTGTCAATGTGTAAGATTAATAAGAAACAAAATGCACACGGTGTCACTTTTCGGTCACTTTGAAACTTGGGACAGCCTCGCATTCAAGAGAGGAAAGCTGGGACTAAATATATTCAAAATGGTTCAAATCAAAGTCAAGCCAGGCTGCTAGTGCGATTCTTCCTCCTCCTACCGCTCTCGGTGGAGAATGCCCAGCACGGCGAGAGGTTGACTTGAATTATTATTATTATTATTATTATTATTATTATTATTATTATTATTATTATTACTACTACTACTACACTACTACTACTATGATTATTATTGCTGTTGTTATTATTCTTTTCTCTTTCGTGGTAATTACGTTTTAGCTGCATATGTGGAGGGTAACAGGAATGCTTGTCTATTTCACAAGAGGGATCCTCTTTCCCCCCTCTTTCGGTATGTATTGAGTTGCCTCTTCTTGGTGCATGAAAATTTGCTCTCTCCCTCTCAACTTAATTCCAGTGCTGTCCCCATCCCATTCTCGGCCAGCCTCGGCCAGGGAACTCTCGCTTCTTTATTAATTGATTGAAGTCTCCTTCTCCAGTGAAATCGAGCCTTTAGTCCTTATGTAAAAATAAGGAAGCTGGCCTATTTTATCCTATCCTTTTCTTTCTTTGAGAACTTAGGGTGATGGTACAAGTTTGTTAAAGGGAAATACTGGGGAAAAAAAGGGTTTGAGATTGTTTATTACGCCATAAATCTTGCAGTAAAATGTCGAAATGGCCGTGTGCAAGATAACACTTGGTGGTCTTGGCTGGGTTCTTGTTTATGATAACAAAACCAGAAAGACACGGAACAGGCCTTTTGGAGGTCCTGCCTCAGCACATCTTCGCAGACTAAGAGAACCACACGAAAAAAACAGACTTGAGCTGAGCAGCTCAGGTCACCTTGCAGATTTACACTCGTATACAAAGCTGAGTCCTTCTCTCTGTAACCAAGCGCCAGAGCCCTACTGTAGAAAGGGGCACGGTGAAACTTTGAGATCTAATCACAGTAAATAATATGAAGCAGAGCCCGGTCAGCTCTCCCAATATAGCGCTGATCTTACAAACCGAGACAACACTTTTCGTTATGTTTTGCTGTGGAGTGGGAACACGGCAGCCCGCTGTAGTGCTCCGGCCATAGTGCCTCAGGACTTATGCCGAAGATAATATTTACGATTACCCCAGTGTAATTCATCTGGTGCTAGCCGGCAGGTATTTGTATGTATGCGTCTCTGTGTGTGCATGTATCTCTTTATAGCGGGAAAATGCTATCGTGGTGGACTTCGGCAATCTTTTATTTTTTACAGTCATACAGATGGGAGCTGGTTTTTTTTCTTTTAGGAAATGGGTTGCTGTTGTTTTGTTGTTGTTGTTGTTGTTGTTTTGAGTATAAATAAAACAATCTCCCCTTTTCTGTCAAATGTGTGCTGTTGAACAGTTGCGGCTGTCTCTGTGTGTAACCGCGTGTGTGTAACCGCATTTCCTCTCCACGCAGAGTAAATAGAGAAACTTATCTATTACGCCAGTTAGAGTTCCATATATGTGCTGTTGGAAATGAGTAAGTAAATGTGTTTTAACTCTCTTTACAAATTAGACATTCGATAGTAGGAGGAAATGAGTGATTGTTTAGATAAGTACCCCAGTATACCCAAGTGCTGGAAATGTTCTAACATATTACAAGCCGCATGCAATGTGCGTGCCTATGTGTTTGTGGATAAAATATAAATCGATACAATGTGTGTCTTGTTAGATAGAATATATATTCAAACAGAATTTTATTGCATGTATCCATTATGTATTAAACTGCAAAAGACAATAATCTGAATTTAAACCAGAGTAACTGTTAATGTAATATCTTTAGGAGGGAAAGATCTAAACTGTATCGTATTTACGTTTGATATATTAGAAGTATTTTCCCATACCAGCAGATGAGATTTAGCCACTCAACAATTATATTCTCTAAGGGTGTGGTAAATATTTCTATGTGTTTATATTCTTTCCTGTACAGATGAAAAAAAAATCTGAAAAAGTTCGCGCCTATTCCAAATGTGGTAGACTAGTTTATGTTCAATAAGTATTTTTTTTCCCCTTAGAATAAGAGCGTAATTAGTTTAACCATCAAATTTCAATTACCTAAGGTCAGGGCGGTTGCCTCGTTTCCCCCTGAGTTGCAAATACCGTTAACAGTCTCAGTTTTAGTAACGTAGATGTGCCCGAGTGCCCTTTCCCTCCTACACCAGGGTTTGCGAGCTACTTCTGCGAAGGCGCTAGCGATTTCTTATGGACATGAAAATTAAGAAATAAACCCAAGACGAGTCACACCAAACCAATGGACTTAAATTCGTAGTTCAGAAAGCTCTCCTCTGCGGGGAGGGATGCTCACAGTGAGCTCTGTAATCACCGATAGGAAGTGTTTGATACCGTCGTGTCTATCTTCCCCCATTCCTTCTCCCTCTGTTCCCCATTATTTTCAGGCTCACTCTGTGCCTCACACCCTGCAAACCCCTCGAGGACTCTCCTCGGCCTCCCCGCGACCTTCGTCCTAACTTTTACGTCTATCCCTTCAACTAGCCCAGCTTCAAAGGGGCAAAAGGCTGTCCGTGGAGCTCGCGGTCGGCCGCGGTCCGCAGCGGCGGGGCCCTGGGGACAGACCCTGGAGGGTGGCCGGTGGCCTGTGCCCGACAACCACTGCCGCCCTCTGCCTGCGCGCAGCCCCGGCGTTTGGAGATGTGCTTGTTTAAAAGGATTGTGCAACGCCTTGTGCAATGCCTGCCTCCCTCTGGATCACGCAGCTGGGCTGCGCTCCGCTTCCTCGCCCCGCTTCCTACACTCTCCCACGGGAGAACGAAGACACAAAAAGTGCTGGAGCGGGCGGGGTGGGTGGGAGACTGTCAAAGCCGGATTAGTTTTATCTCGCTTGACACCGCGACTGCTGGACGCGGCCCGGGTCGGCGGGCGGGAGGAGCCGGGGATGCTGGTGAGGAGCGGACGCGGGGCGCTCCCTCGCCAGGCAGCCGCCGCCCCTGGGGGAGGCGCGGTCCCCGCGGAAGGTCCGCGGGCGCGGAGCTGCCCTGCGGCCGCTCGTCCCTCTTCCATTTCCTGATCCGGGGTCCGCGGCCCCGCGCGGTAATTGGCGCTGGCGGTCAGGTGGTGGCGGGGCGGCGGGGGGTGCGGGTGTGTGTGTGCGCGGGTGTGTGTTTGTGTGTGTTGTAGGCGCTCCAGGGGTGGGAAGAGAGGAAGGGAGGGGAGTGCAGCGGGGAAGGGGGGGGGAAGGGCTAGAGGCCCAAACTTTGGCAGCGGCAGCACTTGACAGCAGCGGGAGGGGGAGAGGGAGGGAAGGGAGGGAAGGGGGGGGGGAAGGGGAGGGGCCTCGCCGAGCCCAGAAAAACGACAACGCGAGAAAAATTAGTATTTTTGCACTTCACAAATTAATGACCATGAGTTCGTTTTTGATAAACTCCAACTACATCGAGCCCAAATTCCCTCCCTGCGAGGAATACACGCAGCACAGCGGCAGCGCCGGCAGCTCCGCCAGCTACCACCCGCACCACTCGCACCCGCACGCCCCACCGCCGCCGCCGCCGCCGCACCTGCACGCCGCGCACCCGGGCCCGGCGCTGCCCGAGTACTTCCCGCGGCCGCGCCGGGAACCGGGCTACCAGGCTCCCGCGGCGCCGCCGGGGCCACCGGGGCCGCCTCCCGAGGCGCTCTACCCCGCGCAGGCACCCTCCTACCCCCAGGCTCCCTACAGCTACAGCAGCGCCGGCAGCGCCGCCCCGGGCCCCGAGCAGCCGCCCCCGGGCGCCTCGCCGCCGCCACCGGCCAAGGGCCACCCCGGCCCGCCCCAGCCCCTGCTCCCAGGCCATGCCCTGCAGCGCCGCTGCGAAGCAGCCCCCGCCGCCGGGGCCGGCACCGGGCCCGCCTGTCCGCTGCTGCCCGACAAGAGCCTGCCCGGGTTGAAGGGGAAGGAGCCGGTGGTCTACCCCTGGATGAAGAAGATCCATGTGAGCACGGGTGAGTTGCCCTTGCCAGGGGGAGGTGGGGATGCGCCTCCAGAGGAGGGAAGGGGGGAGGGTGCTCCCGGGACCGGGATGGGTCGTTGCGTGTGTGGCTTTTTTTTTTTTCCCCTCCTTCTCCCTCCGCGTTTCCTAATAGTAAAAAAAAAAAATAAAAAAAAAGAAGAAGAAAGAAAAGGAAAAAAAAAAAAGAAAAAAAAAAAAGAAAGGAAAAAAGTGAGAAACCTTTTGTATCCGGGGTCCTTTATCAAAAGATTTACGAGACGCCAAACTGTTAGGGCAGTAATTATAGCCCCCATAAATTTAATTGCCCTGCAGTGGCTCTGGGCCATGTGTCTTTGAAGCTTTTCTTCTAACCCAAATGCCCATCACCATTTTTTATTGCTCCTCGATTGTCCCCACTGTCGATAGGCTGGGAAACAATTTTTCTTGCCGTTTACGTATCTTATGTGAACCCGGTGTCAAGTTATTATATAATGATTATGTTCCATCCCTTCCCTTCTCCTTCTTTCCCTTCTGCGTGTGTATGTGTACCCGCGTGTGCACGTTTCAGTCAACCCCAATTACAGTGGAGGGGAGCCCAAGAGGTCTCGCACTGCCTACACCAGACAGCAGGTCCTGGAGCTGGAGAAGGAGTTTCACTTCAACCGCTACCTGACCAGAAGGCGACGCATCGAGATCGCGCACACCCTCTGCCTCTCCGAGCGCCAGGTCAAAATCTGGTTCCAGAACAGGCGCATGAAGTGGAAGAAAGACCATAAACTGCCTAACACAAAGATGCGTTCCTCAAACCAGTCCACACTGAGCCAGCAGTCCAAAGCACAGACACAGGGCCACCCCCATCCGCTCGATGGGGCTACACCCAACGCAGCTGCGCTATAAATACGGTTTTTGCTTTGAGTCTTTTTGGTCCTTTTTTGTTTGGTTGGCTTTTTTTTTTGTTGTCGTTGTTGTTGTTGTTTTTAAAATATATATATATTTACCTATCTATTGGGGTTTTCAAGCTGCCTCAAGGTGGAGGCTGGCCTTTTGGACCAAACTGTGTAAAACAAAACAGGAGCAGAAAAGGAAGACGAGACGTGTCCAAGAACGGGCACATGTTTAAACCAAAACCCGGACGATTGTCTACATTGTATATAGATAATGGTTCCATGCCCATCATTTTTTTCTATTTATGGAAACGCTCTCTTGCCCTCGGTGTAAGAGAGGGCTGGATGCTGTCATGGACGAATTCTCTGTACCTAAGACGGACTCTTTTTTTTCTTTTTTTTTTTTCCTTTTTTTTCCTTTTTTTTTTTTTTTTTTTTTTCTTTTTTTTTTTCTTTTTTTTTTTAGGGAACACGTTAAAAATAAAAAAAAAATAAAACAAAGCAAAGAGCTCGTGAGACACTTGTGTAAGGCATTGACTTGAATAGCGCTGTTTTGTGGTGTGTTCATGGATTTCTCTATGTGTGCTTGTGTGTGTGATGGTGCACAGGCACGTATACACACACAGACCAATACGGGAGGGAGAATGAACATGTCCACAAGAGGTTAAAGACTTAATGAAAAAGTCCCCTTACGTTGTCTAAAGGAAAATGTTTTATGTATCAAAGGTAACTTAACTGGTTTTAAGTGTAGTCCCCTCAGTAGCTGTGATCTATTAGTTTTTCTCCACATTCCCTATTGCATTTATTTAAAGAAATATTGCTATAAAGGCTGTTGCTGTCTTCATATTTGGCACCGTCTAAATAGTTTGGGTCCATGTACAATTTGTGGATTTTTGGTGTAATGTATAACAGTGCCAAATGCTAGTAATAAAGATTATTCTGTACAAAAGAATTAAACGCTTGAAACACGAATCCACTACGTGCTGTTTCATCCACCTTGTGCTTGGTTGGTGTTGGCATCAGGAATGGAAAAGAACAGTTTAATGCATTGTTTTGACTTGGATACATCTTGTCAATAAGGTAATGGTTATTTTAAATGTGGTGAAAAACCTCCTGACTCCTACTTGCCTGGCTGGGAAAAATTGTGTTGTAAGATGAGGAAAGGTCTTGTTTCTTTGTATAGGTGAGTGGTACTCTCTTTCGCTGACTTAGACAGAATGAGTCTGACTCCACCGCTGGCCGTGCGACCGTTTTCAGCTGCCTGACAGGAGAAACTGTGCTTCTTCTGGGAGCCAATAAGCTCCCATGCAGTGATAACATTTTAAATCTTTAGCCAGTCGTGGTTTATTCATTTCTTTTCGCCTGATTATGATTTCTTAGTTGGCTAGCACAGTGTAAGGGGAATACATGAACGGTAACCTAAAGTTTCTTTTTAAGCCTCCTTTTCTGTTTCTGCTTCTATTTCTTTTTTCTTTTTCTTTTTTTTTTTTTTTTGGTGTGTTTTTTTTTTGTTTGTTTGTTTTTTTGTTTTTTTGTTTTAAGATTATTTCCAAATGTATTGAGAAAGCCTTGGTAGATACATGAATTTGGATATAACTCATGAGGCTTTTTTGACCAAGATTGTCACAACTACTGTGGCAAAATGGGATTCAACTGGTTCCAGCTCGGGCTGTGCATCTTGCTGATTCCAGGCAGCTAAGGAGTTCAGGCAAAGCAGAGCAGCTAATGGAGAGCCCTGCTTGGGGCTTCTACAACATGGTGTTGCGCTGAGCTGGGTAGGAAAAGTCTTGAAAAAGAGCTCAAGTGCTAGTAAATCTTCCAGGGAAGACCTGAAGGCCAGTACTTATTTATTTACTCACCCGAATAAATACAAGATGGATTCTTGGAATCAGTGCTTCTCTTCATGTGAGGCCGCCAGGACCAGGGGCATCATTGCCCCGGTTGAGGTAGCATCAGGCTCTAAAGATTGCACCAGCATCCCTACCTAGCCATGGAATATGTACCATCCAAGAAAAAAATGTAACATGCCACTGGCAGAGCACGTTCAGCATCAGGGAGGTGGCAGTTGTAAACACCCTCAGCAAATACGGCTGTCCCAATACCTGACCAAAGACCAGGCCTGAAAAGCACATTTTTGCTCATATATTGCTGTTTACTAAATCCTGAGTTTCCAGTTGTCTCCTTACAAAGGAGGAAAAAAATATAGCTGTATGTGAGGTAACTACTCTCCGCAAACGTGTAACTCTAAATTTGGTTTATTGCTTGAGAATCCCTTAATGTATTTAGAGCCAAAATTAGCACAACTGAGCAAAATTCCAGCTGAAACGTATTAACTGGCAGCGCAAGATTTCTTTAGTGTGCAGCCTATGCGTATAAACCTGGTTTGCTCCCATTGTAAAGAGAAATGAAATCACGCTGCAAATAGCAATTTTAGCGAGAATCATTAATCACCTCCTACAATAAATACTTCTTTGTAATTCAACAGCGGTTCTGAAAGGCATTCTCTTGGAAAAGTCTGTGAAGACGAAAAGGATTTTCCTGGGGGAAAAAAAAAGTGGTCATGTGTAAAGACACAGCATCTTGGCTGTCTGCTAAAAAAATGTACATTCTCTTGCTGGAGATTGAACTGCGGACTGCAAAATACCCCATGGCAGATTATCATCGTTTAAGGTAAATTCTCCTTCCCTCTCTTCCCTTTCTGCCTGTGTTGGGAGCAGAATGCTGCTCCCGGGCTGGGAGCCTTCTGCTCCCCGTCCAATACCTCCCATCTTTACAATAACTTCAAAAATTACATCGTCCTGTTTAAATTCTCGCATTGTGCTCCCTTTGCTAAGGCAACCAGGAGTTCACCGAGAGGACAAATTTTCTATCCCATTAATTGTTTTTTTTAGAGGAGCAGACTGACCCTTCAAACCCTTGACCTTTAAAGACAGTATTCTTTTTAATCCGGCACTTGGACCTAAATGTCTCTTCCCCCCTCCCTCTCTCTCGCTCTCCCGGTGTCTCTCACACACGGATTTATCTGCTCTGGCCACAAAGGCGAGCACAGCTCAAAACGCTGGAAGTGGAAGTGTGTCAATATTTCAAAGAAAGACCAAATCACCTCGGAGTCAATTTGCTGTCAGCAGGGAACGCCACTCGGTTAACCCCGGCACCCACCTCCCCTCCACCCACCAAGAAAAATACTCCTCTTCCAAGATCCCCCTCCTCGTTTCTCCTGCAAGCTCTTGCTATACCTGGTGTTTCATTACAGGAGGAGCTGAACTGTGACAAGCGCCTTGTGGTATTTAATAACCAGGGCCATCCTGCATCGGGGGATTACGCAATGCTAGGATTTATATATTTTTTAATTTTCTTTTTTCTTTTTTTTTCTTTTTTTTTTTTTCCCAGGGTGCTTGCAGTCCCAGGTCTTCTTGTCCTATGTTTGTAAACGAGGAAGGGGTGGGGGGAGCCCTCATACAGGCGGAGATCCTGACAGGCTTGCAGTGAAACTCCGGCTCTCCCCGGCCCCCCGCCTGGAGTCGGGGCCGTATTCGGGCAGGCCGGGCTCGCCCGCCGTTCCCGCACCTCCGCCCGAGCCGGGCGGGCGGCGCGGCCGCGGGACCCCGCACGTCACGGCCCCGAGGAGGCGGAGGCTCTGGCCATGTCCGCAGCCTCACGGCCTGGCCGGGCCGCGCCGGGGAGGGACCCCGGGGTGTCGCTCCAGGGCTGTCCCCTCCTGCGCGGGCGCCCAAGCCCGGCCCACGCGGGTCCCGCTGGGGTCAGGGCTCCCCGCGTGGGCAGGGGAAGCTCCGCGGCCGCCTCCCTCCGGCCCCGGGCAGCCCTAGTGGCTCCGCCCGGGCCCGCGGACAGGCAGCACTCACCCATGGAAGATGGCCCGGGCAATGCCGCCCTGATGCTCTCCCGTCCCCCTGCCAGCAGCGCAGAGCCCCCTCCCCGCTGCAGACAATGACGATCTGGGTTCAACTGATTCATTTGGAGTGGGGGGGCGCGGACGGTGCAAAGCTGACCCAGCTCGCTGTGCAGAACGGGACAAACCCTTGCAAATAATGCCCCAGAGCTTTCCCTGGAAACTGAGGAGCTGTCAAAGGCAGTAGAGATTAGGGGATCCAAGTACGAGCATCCCTGCCCTCGCAGATAAAGGTGTTGCGTCTGTTCTAGGGGAGATATTGAAATTTTAATCTTTAGGGTCACGTGACTCATTAAATAATTAATGCAGCTAGTCAGGAATGGATCTGTGGCCGTCAGTCCTCACTAGGAGTGATTCTCTCAGAAGTGAAACTCAACTCCTTATTACTGGAGTTTGTTTTTCTTTCTTTCTTTATTATTTTTTTTCCCTTTTAAAAAATCCCCACCTGATTTATCTTGAAAGATTCTAAACTTCTTAAGCAAGCAATAGGGTCTGTGTTGGTAAGTAGGTAGTGTGTGTTTCTAGCTTGATGACTTTAATTGTTTGTGCTTGCTTTGTCTGCTGAGCATTTGCTTAACAAGTTTAATATTTAGAAATGTTAAATCTTTGTTTTAGTTGCCTTGTGGTCACATTACGGCTTTTGGTGATTAAGTGTTACGGAGGCAAACACACTTGATAATGTTCTAATTCACACTGTGGAAGGCTGGGTGCCACAGTGCAGGAGGACCTGCTTTGTTCAATTTTCCTGGCGTTAATAAATCACAGTCTCTTAATACATGGCCAAAAAAGCAATGGAAAGGCAGTGAGCATTGCAAAGGAAAAGTCATGGGCGAATTTCTCTATGACTCATTAGTCTGAACGATTTATGTACGAACTTAGAGTGCCGCAATGAATATTAGAGTTTGGGATAACAACAAATTAAAAAAAAAAAAAAAGAAAAAAAAAAAGAAAAGAAAATCATAGTTTTTGTAAAGTGCTTTATTGCTACTTAGCAACTCTTTCAAGAAACAGCATACTTTAAAGGACCGTGGCAGTGTAAAATATGGTAGCGTGACCTAATAGCTCGAAAATAAATAACAGAAAGTCGCTGGCACCATTTTCAGATACACGCTCCATATTTAACACGAGTGGGACAACCCAGTCACGACATGCTTGATCGATGATTATTGATGTTTATAACATGATTATTGATTAGGGATCAAAACGACTGAAGTACGACTTTGAGCCTAAAGTGCCAGGAGGTTCCCCCTGTGCTGAAGCCGAGTGGAAGGAAAGGTAGAGTTGAGGATAACTCCAGGAAGCAGCTCCTGGGCTCTGTGATTGTAGTTCGAACTTTCCATTTTCTTTTGTGTTTGCCAGTAGATTTTAACAGTCAGCGCTCGCAAATTTATGAGACAGCAATAAACAGTTTAGTAGGCTATTATTGCATGATTTTATGTAGACTGGAGTTCAACACCAAATTTAAAATTATTAGCGTAATTATGGAACTACTAAATTACCAAAGCAAAGTATCAGCTCGAAAAGTTCTCCCAAGACGGACTTAATATTTCCAGGGCTCAGATAACACCCTTCAGCAAGAACGGTGTTATTTAATTATTAGCATTTACATTTACTGACGATTGTAAGATGCGTTAGATGGGCTTTATTAGCAAGACTGAATACAGGGGTACATTATTATATCTGACAAATGCATATGTAAAAGTGATTCAGTAAGTGGCATGCAAATAACCTATTGTCTTTTTGGACTTAGCAATATTGTTTATTTTAGGGGAAAAGAAGCAGCCCTGTTTTTTCTCGTCTATCAATGGCTTACAGTGATGTCGGTTTTTTCGTTGCCTTTTTTTTTTTTTTTTTTTTTTTTTTTTTTTAAGCATTTGGGCCCGATCCCGCGTCACTGAGGTCAATTGTTAGTCTCTTACTGAGCTTGTGGTGGCAGGATTGGGCCCCGGCTAACCGTTTGAATAAAAGCCCAACCACAATACGCCCCGCATTTAAACTGGAACCCTTTCCGAGTTTTATTCAGCAGAGATGAACACCACGAGTTGTGTTTAATGTCTGTTCTTGATTAAATGATCCTAAACAAAGGTTTCCCAGAGGAAAATAAAGCAGACATTCATGTAACAAGAGTTAGGAATGACAATATTTCCAAACACTTGGAGACAGAAGGCATAGCTGTCTACGGGGAAAAAAATAAGGAAAAAAACCCAACCAAAACAACCGCACGCTTTTATTTCTCAGCTCCCCGTGCTCTTCACCCGGGTGGGAATCCACGCTCCTCGCGGGAGCCCGAGCCCGCTCCATCCCCGCCCGCCCCTCTTCGGGCTCTCCCAGCGCACCCGGCAAACCATGTATTGCCAATGAAGGAGCAAAATACCTCCCCCTGCACTCCCCGGTAAGGCACTGTTTGTTGCTTGTTTACAGGGAGCCCCGAAACGAAGCCGCTCGGCCGGGGCGGTGGAAGAAGCTGGGAGCGCCTCAGCCCAACCCTGCGCAGCTGGAGGAGGTAAGAGCCGGGCTGGGGCCGCTGCTTTTGCGCCGGTGGCAGCTGTAAGAATGCGATTTGCCTGGTACCTGCATGAAGAACAAGACTGCTGGAATGAGATTTTGTTGTTGTTGCGATAAATATTTAACCTAGCTGGAATTTTTTTTCTGGATTGGCTCTATTCATCTTCCGTGGGTGGTGAATGCGCGTGTCTGGGCAGACAAAGAAGTGTACGGGACCTGAGTGATCGCCATCCTTATAAAGGCATTGGGGACAGGAAGGATGCAAAGTCATCTGAAGAGCGAAAGAGTTAGAGAATTTCTTTGTCCATTCTTAGCTCTTTCCGAAATCAAAGGCACCAGGCGAGGGAGAGAGGGTTGGAGCCAGTTCGGTATTGAATGGCTGCTTATCGTGGTTTGTCTGTTCACCTCCTCCTCGAGGAGTTCCGCAGCCAGTCCTGCAAACGAGAAGTGCATGCGGGGATGTTAGAAAACCTGTTTTTTGTCTGCCTGCATACAACAGAACAGTTCGCGAATAAATTTCGGGTATTTGTCCGTCCTGGCCTGCTTTGCACTGAGTGGAGGTCCGTGTCCGGTGGTTCGGAGTTGCTGAAGTCCTTGATGTGCTTGGTCTTCTGGCAAGAGAAAAGAAATGCTTCCCATAGTGACATTCTTTTTTTTTTTTTTTATGCCGGCCGTCGAGAGGGGAGGATTATATAGAATTAGCTCAAATTCCTGCTAGATTTACCTGCTCCTTTTTGGATGTTGATGTACAATTAGTGTATTTTACTACCTTTTAAAAGCGGCCATAAATTACAGGACTACAAGGGCTCTTTGTGTTGGCTTAATGAGCTGCTTAAATCTTAACTACAAAAAGGCACTGCAAATGTCTATTCACGCTTGTATTCGGAAATTGAAAGCGAAAACACGGTACGAAGGAACCTTCCTCCGGTGGCATGTACCCACAGCATTGCGGGCAGATACTTGGGATTCCTTAACGGACCCAACACCGGCAGACTCAGCTGACTCTGAGCAGAACTTCTCTCACAAGGGCACAGTCGATAACGCTGCTCTTTTTATCTACTTGGGAATGATCAAAGACCAACTTTATCAGACGCACGGATGTAGGTAAACAGCTCTGCGTCCCAGCTGATTGCAAATCTTTCGAGGTAGCAAAGAAATAAGTACTTATATCTTACGGGTGATTCCCATTTCGTCTCCACATGGGAGTGATAGGCACACCTCTTACCAACTGGCATAAAAGTAAACTTGAAACACAGTAAAAATTCTAACTCTAATGATACTGAAGGTAACTTTAATAGCTTTAATGCTAAAAGTGGCTATTAATGCCAGAACGGGCACGAAGGGTCTCCCTTAATGAAGGCACGTTACGAACTTAGATCTGTTTGTTGTTACTGAGGCTGGAATTTAAACTCAGCTCGAAGCCATGTGTATAAAGCACAGAAAAATCAGTAGCATACCTACTGATAAACTCCACTTTTTTTTCCTGCTAGAAACAGTCTTTCGGGTCTCCAAATCATCAAGGTAATAAAACACAACGTTGAGTGTCCAGGAACAGGAACAAAGCAATAAATGGGGTGGCGAGGGAAGTCTAGCGCCTGCGACTCGTAAGACCATTTGAATTTGCATCTGAAACCTCGTAATCACACTACTAGAGCAAAGAAAACTTTCTCCAAATTCGGCGGAAGGGAATAATTTTCAGCTGCAATTCAGGACAGCACAAAGTTAGGCAGACTCCCCCTTCTGCCTTCCCAAAGCACACTCTGTGAAAGGTATTCACACGTCAAGAAGTTACTTTCCTTAAGAATTAATTAGTTTCCCCACTATATACACCAAGTTAATTGTTAAACAGTAGTTTTAGGATTAACTTGACCATTAATACCAATAAAGATGTTCACAGAAACAGGGTTTTGGAGCCAATAGCCACAGCTAGCGTTAAGGCATTTCAGATGACTTATGATTGTGATTTATTGCTTTTGTAGTTTCTATTTGCTCAAGACTGTAACTTCTAAAGCCATCTTTCTACTTTTGACGCAAAGCAGTCGATAACTTTTTGCAACAGCCCCAAGAAAGACTTGCTTTGCTTTTTTCAACATCTGCTCCATTCCCCATTAATTTCGGTTTCATTGTTGCAGAAGAACTTCTCTATGTGTTTCTTCTATGGGATGTAAACGCACCAAATTTAAAAGAGCCGTGAATCCGTCTCAAGCAACTACCGGCCTTGGTATATAAGTGTGAGAGCGGCGGAGTTACCAGGCGTGCTGATAGTTACAGACTCGGGCATATCGAGTGTGCCTAGTGCCCTCTCTTTTTAAAAACTCTGTAGTTTTTATTCCAGTTCCTAGTGAGGGGTAATATATGTATACCCTGGTACTAGCTTAGTCACTTCCATATGAAAAATTGCGAAGTTTTCTCCCGCTGAAACGTCATGCTGGCTTTGCTGCAATGCCACTACTGTACACTGTTACGAATGGGTTTACATTCCAGTGGCCCATTTTTACAATCCAGGCGAGAGTATAATAAGGCTTGTCCATAACACTGAAAGTCATCTTTAAAAAGAAAACTCCTTCCATTCTGTTCAATTAAGTGTAGGTGAAACAGCAAAAGGGGATATCTTTGAGCTCATGGGAGATGGTGGAAAGATTTAGGCAAGGATATACACATGATGATGCATAATGCTGGAGTCATAGAACTGAGCCAAGAGCACGTTAAAAGCGTGAACTATCTGATTTACTTTGACTCCTTCCAGAAAAGTTGTGTGAGTGGAGGGTTTCTTTTGTTTGTTTAGCTTATTGTGTCAATAGCACAAGTTAAACAATCTTACAGGGAAGATGTGATGGGTTCACACACAGGCGAAGCTGCCTGGCTCAGGGGCCACATACAACTTTGCTTTTTATTTTTTTTTCTTAAATTTTTCCCCTTAGGCAAAGAACTCCCCCTCCCCAATTTTTTCCCAACGTTAGAAACCTATAATTTTGTGCATCACTCAAACTAGCTGTATAGGAAATGCGTAAGCACAGGTTTAACAGCAAGGTCCCAAAAGATTTTCTAAAATTCAGAGGCACGCCAGTGAAGGAAGGTGTATTCTTCATAGTGTGTTACGAGGACAAAAATCAACTAGCCTCTTAGAAGAGACTCTTTTTTGCCTTTGTCAGGTAATTACAGGTCTTTTTAGCTTCTACAGGAGCCCTTATGTAGCGTGTGGGAGTCGAGCAAGCCCTGCACAATGGCAGGGTAGAGGGAGCTGGGGGTGGGGGGAAGGCTGGTAATCGTCCCGTTTAGAAGGGGGCTGGAGATAATAGCATTAAGATTTGGGCTTTCTTCGGAGCTTGCAGAGGACATACGACGTGGAGCAGAGTGGCGGGCCTGGGGAGCAAATGCCGGTTAATTAGGCTAAGTATCAAAGTGCAGCGTTATAAGAATTCCTCTTACCTTCCATTGGGTTTTGTGTAAAGAAATATTGGTGTGGGAGGAAAGAGAATCAGACCAATCTCCCTCCACAGTCATCTGCATCTCTTAGATTTTTTTTTTCCTCCTCCCTTAAAACTCTTCTTTAACATATTGGGTTAAGGCTTTAAAAAGTGAAGGCTCGCTCTAAGAAACCCTGTTCCTTCAATGATTCCCTATTTCAAATAAAAGGATTTAAGTTGACGTATGACCACGTGAGCACATAATACAGCGCATTATTGTGGCATTTGGAGTGGAGACCCGGTCTGGCTCCGTCTGCGATTACGCTTTTCCAGTTTCTGTTCAGAGCAAGCACTGCTTTCTATTATTTTTTTTTTCTCCTGCCCCCATCACCGTCCCCACAAGAGCTGGCCATTTCGCTGACAGCTTTCGTTCCTTATGGAAAGGTTATTGTCGAGCCGAGAGGACGAAATGCTTCGTTAGAAAGGATGGATTTTATTTTAAGGTATTTCCGTTGATTGTTCATTTATGTGGTGAGTTATTGCTGTTCGAGGCAAAGGTCAGTAGCAGAGGCTGGAGTGAGTGCGTGTGTGTGCGTGCGGGTGTGTGTGCACCCGGAGCCAGGCTGCTTCCCCCTTTGTTTCAATTTGCTGTGGTAAATATTCAACTCTATCCTCGCAGCGAGCAGAGCAGGCAGAGTTTGCTTCTTTATTTATTTTTCTCCATAGAGATCCCACACTGCCGTTGATGGCCAACTGCCTCCGCTACAGCCTCTCAATTGCCATTTTACCATTATTTATGACCGGCTAGAGATAGGAAGCCTTTTTTATTGTCGTGGGTGAATATTTCCCCCCTCAATTTTACTCTATTATTTCATTTGTGTGTTTGTGTGTTTATTTATTTATTTGGGCAAGTCGGAGAAAACGATGTGGGGGGTGCGTGGTGCTCCTCTGTCGGGGTCGTGCTCGAGTGTGCGGCAGCGGTTGTTGTTTTATGAGTGTTTGTTCGGCCGCTGCCGCTCCGTAAATCGATGACTGCGCGATCGTGCTGCCATTTTATTTATGATGCTTTAGTGGTACTTTGTTTATTGTGCGAGGAGCGCTGCATGAGTGCTCAGCTCTATGGCAAAGCTTCCCCTTCCCAAATGAGCCAAGGCGCTCCTCTTTATTTCTCCGCGGTGAGAAGGAGCTGAACCAAGAGCCAGCCACGGCTTCTAACAATAAATCAGCCTTGAAAATGTGGGGGGTTATTCTGCCTCTCTGAATGGGGATCTGGAAAGAGAGAATAAAAAGGACAGGAGTAGGAAGTATCTTCTAGGAGAAATTATATTAGCTCTAAATTAATATCCATGCCATCACTTACATAAATATAGATATATCCATAGATATAAATGTGTAAGTATTTGCGTATCCTTATCGATATGAATGCATAGATACAAATGCACTTTAAATGATAAATATCGAAATATTAAGTTGCTATCCAAAGAGGGCAAAATGCTAAATGAAGCTCTATTTCGCTGGCGTGCCCCGGCTTGGGGAAAGGTTGGAGCCCTGGGACTCGTTTTGTTCCAGTCCACTCCATGCCTCTCGCTTATTCTGTTGAGCCATTTTGTGTCCAGTTACGCGCTGTTTGTAATTGCTCGTCTTCTAAGGGGTCAGGAAGAGAGGGAGAGAAGGAGAAAAGTGAATGATGATAAAAACTCCGCTGAGAGCACCACAAAAAAGGTTATTTCCACTCGGAGCTATTCACGGCCATTCTGCAGAGACCTTCAGGGTGATGTTTGGGATGGTCTCACGTTTTCCTGCTCTTTAAAGTGACTCGCGAAGCAGAACTGACCCAAATAAATTTTATTTCCCCTTTTCAACGCACCGAAGCACGGTGTCTCTTCCGCAAGGGAAGGAGAGCTCTTTTGCTCGCATCTGTGTGTCCAAAAAGCCAAGATTGGCGTTGGCGTATTTTGAAATGGGCCAAAATGTGCATCAAAAATAAAATCCAAGCTTTAATTGCAGTTAAATTACTTGGCAGCCTTTCCTCTGATTTATGACCCAGTTTGGATGCATATTGACCCAGTTAAAACACTCATAAATAATACAGTCCTGCTCTAGAGTAGAAGAAAGCAAGAAGAGTTCTGGAGGAAAGGGGGATTTCGGCGAGTTGTGTAAATAACTTCAATCTGTTGTGCAAATAGCGAAGAGTGCATTGCCTTTCTAGTGTTAGAATTTATAAACAACAATTTAGATTGACTATGGCTTGCTTCGATTGTCCAGTCCTTCTCTAATTCAGCTGATACCCCCTTCTAACTCTCTTACGACTTGGACAGGCACCACTTTCAGAACTGGCCCCCTTCTCCCTCAACTCTCTGCCTTGCTATTTCACCTCTGAGAGATCCCCCAGAACCAGCCCTGAATTATGGTTCTGCCTGCTTCCATTTCGGGGCATCCAAGGACAAGGCGCTTTACAGGCATTATTTTATTCGGAAAATAGTAATTCGGGGGAGGTGGGGGGAGGGAGGGGAGGGAGTACCACAGAGTGGGACTCTTCGGGGAGAAAAGCAGGTCATTTCTGACTCAGAAATCAGCCCTAAACACTGTCCGTCCCTCCCCGAGCTGAGCCCTATCTCTCTCCGCGGAATGGAGCAGAAAGAAAATATTCGGCCTCTGGGAGGGAAAGACAGATAAAAGCAGCAGGGATCTGTGCGT